TGGTATTCGATTGAAGAATATGACATGTAACAGTATACTATAATCGATAAATGGTCAGTTATTCAGATACCTTGACCTAATACTGATTGCAGGTCGCGATGGCCACATGTGAAGGTAGCATAAGTAACAGTAAAACTCAACTGCTAAAATTACTAGACGTAACGATGGTTTCACGGGGTTTCTACTTCTGGGTGATGTAAAAATTACGATGGCTCAGGCTTAGTAACGAAACTTTAGGTTCAGCTCACACTAAGACGTGACATTGCGCGCACGGTTTAAAACAGCGACTCAAAAACAACAATTTTCTACACGAAAAGATGAAACGAAACCAGTTAAAACTTAAAAAAAACAATCCAAACACTTAAAAAAAATTACAAATGATAAAAGTAATATTTTTTTTTTTACTTTAGTTACTAGGGTTACTTTTCTGGGGTTAAGTTTTTTTTTACAAGTCTTTCAGTCGAATACTTAATGGTTTGTGTTGCCTGCCTTGTTTGAGTTAGTTTAACCCATTTGGGCCCGCCGTCCCCATATGGGGACAGGTTTTCTTTTACCCGCTGGTTATTAATTATTTTAGCTATCTTCACATTTCATGGGTATTTATAATGAGGAGTAGTGTACTTTCCTAAAATTATTACAACTTTTGACAAATTGCTACAAAAAAGGGGTCATATTGTCAATTTTATCAAGAGGTAGTGAAATGGGAATTATTATTGAAAGCAGAGGCGTTTTGTAGTACGTTATTATGAAGATTTATAAAACTTTTTTGTGATTATTGCTTGCTTATAGTGTCAATTAAAACAATATTGAAGAATATCCTTATACTTTCAATTCCGCTTAGGGGAAAGTTAGAAAAAATAATGGTGTCCCCGTATGGGGACAATGGGCACATCTGTAGTATATTTTTAAAACATTTATACCTGATTTGTATTTTGTTTTCCAATTTATAAAGGTCACCTATAGGCTAAACTTAGTTGTAGCTAATACTTGGTGACAACAGACGCTAATTCACGAAGAGCATCACCAATTCCCACATATCTTTACGCGTTCATATTCTAAAATCTGATGGCATCAAGACCGAAGATGCAAAAGTCCACCTACAGTACCAGGCGTCGCATCCGATATCAGAATTCAGCAGTAGGGGGCATTTCCTCCAGCTGTATTCTGGTGTCGTCACAGCGAAGTCCACCCAGAGGATAGAGTAGCATTATGCCCTGTATACGTTGACCACCGCCGTGTCTTCAGGGAAGTGATCGACGACGATAATCTTCCACGTCCAGCTTAGGTTCTGGCTGCGGTGCGGAGCGAGGGGAACTGGAAAACATCTCTTTCTGCGAAGCAGTCATAGTAGCAAGAACAGATCGCCGCCCAGAACCAGACCTGTACCTGTAACGTGCGTGGCGTTACGCGCGTGCTTCAAAGTGCAGATCAGACCGCCTTAGATCGAGATGGCTCAGTGGGACAGATGCCCGACTACTATGAATAACCTAGTGGGTCACCGGGGCTTCGGCTTGAAGCAGAATTAGGAACGTGTTGGTTTTTAGCCAGTAAGAGTCCCCCAGGCGGAAAACGCAATGCATGATTTTTACCCTCAACAAAAACATAGGCGCGTCACATCAAATTGATTTAGACATTTTCCGCAGAGATTTGGTTAATATCTGTTACGATACGCAGTTCGTCATAAAAAAACTGTGAAATCAATGCAAATAATGCGTTAGAACCTTGTGTGTCGAAAACAGTTACTACTTCGAAAAGTACTACACATGTGCCCATTGTCCCCAATCAAGGACGGCATTTTTTTTAATACTTCTAAAAATATTTTTTGAATTTTTTTTGCTGATATTAGTTTGTGGGCGTCATATCATTGAGTTAATAAAGTTTTTTTTATTAAATTATGTGTAGTTTGCATTTGGTCCCAAATGGGTTAAATATGTATTTTGGTTGGAAAACGTTAAAGCCGTGATTTCAATGCATTGTTGTATCATTGCTTGTTTAATTAGTAAAAGATAAACGTTATTGTTTAATCAGAAACTATGCGGGTTCTTTATTATATGGCTACATTCAATTAATATTTGTAATTAATGACCATACAAACCGCAGAATTGCGGAAGATAGTTAGAAAAAGGTTATTGAATTAGTTGGTAGAACTATGCCAGAATAGAGTAGAAATTATTTACATTGAATGTAGGTTAATTGTAAAACATCTTTTTATTACATACCAAGCACCGTGATCAAATTGTTGTATATAAAATGAAATAATTGTGTCACCCTCTCTGTTTTTCCCTGCGATGTCGCAAGACCCGACTGAGGGCCTATTTCATTGACCCTTGCAGCAACGCTCTCTTGCAAACCTGGGTCTTTTAAACTGTGACCTACAATCGTTTTGACAAACGTGAAGATTACACTAAACCATGTTATGTACAGGAGGTCTATGGTCTAGGAGTGGACTGGCACTGCCAGTTATTTAATTTGGCTTATAAAACTCGTGGCCTATTTACGCTAGACGTCTAATATCAAGTGCTATCATGGAGATGAGAATGCCCTCGGTCAAATCAGATTGCATGGCTTGTCACTGCTGCACGATCAAGAGGCAATTGGCTATTTGTCCGTTATAAAAATATATAATAATATCTATAATATTAAGAGTATAGAAAAACAAGTTTTATCTTTTAGAACAAATGAAATAATATTAGTATTGTGACGTTTTAACCCGAATTCAATCGATATCGAGAAGAGTATAAAATTTTTATTTAAATAAGCATTTTATGAGAGAAAAACAGTTGCTAATAATACAAGAAAGACCACAGTGATGGTTTTTAAGCAAACTACGTTTTATTAAGATAATGCCTCTTATGAGATTAAATGTTATTTCAATGTCCGTCTGGTACATTAATTTAAAACTTTAGACAAGTATTTTTTCTTTTATTACAAAATTAAATGCTTTCGACGATATATTAATTTGAAATATCGTGTGATGTCACAGCGTGTCTCATTTTGTAGCACGTTATGACGTAACGACCTCCCTAACGACTCCTAAACTTAACGCCATTTTATCTAAGTATTGCAACTTACGAAAAAAATACGGGTCTAATAATTTTTCATTATCTAACTGACGGACTAATTACATTTTTAATTTTGATACCCTGGAAACTACGCAATTATGGGTGACAAGACATTTCGCATATTTTAATACATATCACGAAACGTTCAAGTAGCCAATTGTGCGGACGACCTCGGTTCTTCGCCCGATGGCCCATATCTTACACAGAGCTATTCAATGTATGATGCGCTGCATTCTATTGTGCTTAACACAATAATTGATGCTAGTCGTGATTTTAGGTCCATCTGTAGATAGGGTCTGTGAATACATTGGTCGAAGGGTAATTAGGGTAATTAGTGACAGTAAACAAATAACCTTTGACCCGTGGTAATACAGAACGCGGATCTACGCGAGACACAATTCATTTTCTATTGTGTCTCATATACCGGCGGCAAACAAGAGGTTAAACTAATAAGTACTAATAAAGCACTTGTTCCAAAAGTGTGCGTTAAGTACTTTATGTTCAGTATAGTTTATACCTTTATCTCTTGAGCACAAACCACATGTTGCCCTCGACTACGAATCCGTATTTCTTGTACTTTTTTTCCAAAACAGAAGACTTAGTACTAGTTTGAGACCGCGTTGGGCGCACTGATTGGTTGCTTCATGGGAGCCGGTCAATCACAGCGCCGAACACGGTCTAATTTCGATTACTTTAAACGTAAAACAAAGTCGTACTAATGTCTCAGATTAAAGATATATTTTTAAACAATTACTTAGGTTTTTCTACATATATGTACTAAAGTTTTTAGAAGTGCCACGTAAATGTATATGATTGAAAGGATTAATTAGCGAATAATACTTTGATTAATCGAATGCCTCAATAAAACTAGTCATATGCAGCTAATTGTGGCTTTGTCTCGTTTCGTCATTTTGTAAATTATTTATTAATAGATACTTGAATATATGTCAAACATAAAACTCTACAACAAATATATGAACTGACAAACATTCGCATTTAAAATATTAAGTAAGATGAAGAAACCATTTATACCAGTCGTAAAAAACTCCTTTATATTCCTTCCACCAATAATATATAATAAGTCATTATTATATTACGTATGCCTCTAATCAACATAAAGCGTTATATGCACCTAAAGGCACACATCTCAAGTCTTCAGCCAATAAAATAATGAACGTCGTCTATCTAGTTGAATATTGGCCGACGACCTGATAATCGGACCCATCCGGCGGCTCGCCACTATCGGGCCACCGACCCAAACCGGCTACAATCTCGGCTATAACATAATCACGTTTACATTGCTGCATCACACCTCACTAACATAAGTATTTTCGCGTAAAACACACCAGTATCTCTCACGTAATACGATTGCATCTAATTTTCAACCGTGAACTCAGTTGCGCATTCGACAGTGTAGGGTAATTAAAATACGAAATATGATGTTTAATGTAGTAGGTAAATCTAAATTGTTATCATTATTTTGTTTGTTTTAGATGCGACAATCTCATAACACAATATAACATATTCATTCATCTTGTTGAATAAATCTAACGTTGTGTCGGTTATCTCGAATGTTATTGGGAAAACGCGCATTGAAATTCAAAACAAACAAGTTGAGCCACACTATGTCCTAATTCTTAGTTGTCATGCTCTTTTAACTCTCCAACGTCCTCGTGATTTATTCATTGAGAATATATTTCCTATAAGCTTAGCGTGCGTTTCTGATCGTATCTTTTCTGTACGATACTTTTTATTTATTGTTACAGCTTTTAAGCAAATCGCTGCGCAATTCATAGAATACGTTGCGAGGAACTGTTTTCTAAGTATGCAAACACACGGATGCAGAAAGATAAATTCTTTTCATTTGCGGAGCATCATCGATCGCTAAAAGCAATAAAATTCGCGCTCGCAGTCGCTTAATGTGTTCCATGCACTTACCTTTGATGTTAATGAAAGCCTTTTCTTCCAATCGCAGGACATCGCAGTTCTCCACGTCCAGGTGTAGGTATAATACATCCAGGTTAGACGCGGCGTATGCCCTCAGGAATACGATTTCTGCTCCGGTTATATAAATTCGTCTCGCATCCCGCAGCCGTGACAAGGAGTTTGCTCCGAACATGAGAACCCCGGCGCCACTGACTATCAGGTCCGTCGTGGTTTCTGGTAGATCTCCTTCGAAGATATCCATTTTCTGCAAACCACAAACATAGTTTTCAAATCTGTTCATTGGCTAACCGCAGTTTTGAGCACATGACAGACTAACATCGTCATAATTTTTCAAGCTAAGAAAAACATCTGTGTTTTATGTCATTCTAATTCTGGAAATTGTTTTCAGAATATAATTTCGTAGAGTAATGACTAATAGAATAATGAAGGTATAAACGTGTGTTTTGTACCATATTGTTTTCGAATCAGGTCATGTTTATGTTTAACATTAACCTGCGAGTGTAAGACAATACTAAGTGGTTCATAACAGACGCTTTGTGTTCGTTGATAACGATATTTTTCTACACATATTATATTATTATACTAATAACGATAAACGAAGTTTAGGTCATAATGAGCCCTAACGTTAACAAATAAGGTGAGAAAACTAACTTTTTAACTTATGTAGTTATTAAATCAGTGGGTAACATTGAGCTATTATTTCTTTACAAAGTAATTTTATTTGTTTTTGTTGGAGTAAAATTTTAAACGGGGCGAACGATTCTGGTGGTCCTTAAAGTAGAGGGGTTCAACGGATACGGGCTGCTGATTAAATTACGCATGATGTGGGGAAAGTGAACAACTTGACTGAGAGGACACCTACGCACCCTCTGTAATGCTCCCATTGCCTGTATTAGCTTAGCCTTGACCAAATAAATAATACCATTCACTTTCAACGTCGTCTGTTCAAATCAATTCGTGCGATGTTTAAAACAATCCCCATTCTACGCTACGTTATCGACTAATGGCGGCTTCTTGTACATGAAAATATCTGTTATCGAGTCGTTGGCATTCGTGTCCACTGCCATAGATAACAAATATGACTCAGAACGCAAGATATTAAAACAATGCGCTCGTCGAAATAAAAACATACTACAGCTGTATAATATTTTGTTTCATTGCACTCCCGTTCATTTCGGCGGTTTTTCAAATTTGGAATACTAACCGAATTAGTGGTGGCTTCTTCGGACTAGAACTATGTAACTACAAAGAAACGAATAGATGACACGTCCGCTCTCACATACGCGCAGCTAAATAAAAATAAACAGTCACACGCACACACTTACAAAACGACACCAGTCGGATTTCTCGTCAGTGGCGACTACTTGAACTTTATCCGTTTGCCTCATAATTACTTAGCCATATTTATTTTATTCATTGTGCAAATAAGTTGCTAAATAGACATCTATCTAGTTTTAATTTTGCTATCGTGAAATTATTATACAGTTACATTAAAACCAATTACTTGAGTATTGAAATAAATTGTAATTGAAAACTATTTTACATGTACAGTAATCACGGCAGGTGTAAGAGATGTTAGACAAAGCACATCTATTTATATGTCTAAGATTATCTATTTAAATATAGTTCGCATACCAGACCCTGGTAGATTATTTAATGTTAAACACAAAATTTCGTTCATTGCTGCGTTTTAAACACGTCACGGTCCTCAAGTCATGCCAAAAAGTATTCCGATTCATTTTTTTTTCATTCACAGAAAGGCGATAAAGCTCACATGTGTGTCCCGGTGTTGCGTACTCAATCACCATGAGTCACAGTCGAGTCTGTGCACTTTAGTAACTGTTCGCCATTTACGGCAGTAACTTCTGCGATGACCGCGAGATCGAGCTGATCAATCCCAATTTTTGACTACTGTAAAGACTTCAGAAACCTGTTTAAATGTTACCTACTTGAGAAATAAATTCATGGTTGGAAGCAGTATGGCCAAACAAATCAAGTTTCAAAAGAAATGTCTTTTCCAGTACAACTGCTTTATCAAAAGTCTTGTTGAATGTGCAGCGGATATTGCATTTCTTGTCCTATTGATACATATGCGCCAGGAAAAGATGTCAGCTGCAGTTTTCAAAAGGACATGATAAAGGAATATTTTTATTTCCGTAGTTGTTACTACAAGTTGCATACGACAAGAAAAATAATACATGTATCTTGTAGACACGATGTTATGGTCGACGAATTAAGTCGGTAGTCGGCTCTGTTGCGTGCGAAACCTGTTAGTTGGGTGAGCCATACGGCGGGTCAGAACAGAGCATGACTTGTTTCTCATAATACGGGTCGCAATTACACTACTGCTTGTTATTTATAAAGTCTCATATCGGAAATCATTGACAGACTGAGCATTAAGACGTAATCTATTTGACAGGGTGGACATTGCAGAACTAGGTGGAATCGACAGAAGGCGGCCAACACAATGCCCGGAGACTTTCGGTCGACTGATGGGGCATAAGTCAATTGAAACAATAGATGGGTGCGATCTCGAAACTCCGCTCAAGTATCTTACAACTACGGCACGTGTGTTTGCAATTGATTTTGCCCTGGATTGGAGATATTCTGTTCTGTTTGTTGTTCATATAATGGTGTAGTGACCAGTAAATAAATGCATGGCATTAAACATTTTATGCAGTCTTTATTCAACAGTGTTGTTTTACAATCTTAAGAGTCATCAGACCTTTTGGTCTCGTCACTTAGTTGGTGACCTGTCCGACTGCGGGTTCGCTTTTTTCATTGGGCGTCAATTAGCCAGATTTGCGTCTCAGAGTACGAACATATCTCCTCGCATGTATTTCCAATCTAAAATGGACTCTAAGTACTACAGTATTGTGTTTACATTGGTTTGAATATGGATAACTACTACAATGTACGGTTCAAGTGTAACTGAGTCATTTGAGTCAGTACAGAAACGAGTTGGCGCTGATTTCCAATTACAGACAATTTACTCAATACCGTGTGTCACTGCGTAACAGTTATTGAATATTGTTATTTATATTTTAATTATCAATTACCTTATAGAGGTAACTAGGTATCCTACTTCCGTCAAAATGTTACTATAACTTGTAAATAAACTCAGGGCCTATGTTATTAAGTAGCAAGTACATTATGTGTGGACATGTTTTCGAGTTCCGACCTTGCTAACAGACAATGAAACCGCGTGTTGTTAATATTTTAAACTTTACTTTTTAATCTTTTGTACACTGCATTGTGGAAACTCTCTATTATTTTGAAGCCGAAAACTAAATATCCAAATACAATGAGCGTAACAAAATAAATGTTTGCAGAGTTACATCAGAGGTAATATTGTCGTACATAGTAGGTAATAAGTGGAAGATAATAGCGAACGAGGCCTCTTTGATTCTCCTTGCTGCTCCTTGAAACTTGTTGTGCAGAAAATTGCCTACTGCCACTAACTAGTATTGAAAATGACGAACAAAGGTAGTCGGTTAGTCAAACACGAATAAAAATTGACTTGCGTATATCAACATCTTTATCGATAACTTGTAAAGCTGTAAGTTGTATAGAACAAGATATGAATGCATTGTAAAATGTTTATAATTTTACCCGGAATGTTGTTGAAGATTTTAGATTAAATTAATATCATTCTAAACAATGTAGTGGTAGTAAAGAATGATTGTTTAACAGACCAGTTTTTATTTGAAAATATTAAATATTTTTTTAGTAGTGATAATGTTCTTTTGTTCTCATTTGTGAATCGAATCAGTGCCTTTAGCCAAACGCCACTTTAGCCCTTGTCTACCGAGAGAGTAGAAAACTAAATGTATGTCAAAATTTACGTCAATCCCATTATAATTTAGTTATTATAAACCCTACAATAAGCGCTAAATGCCATTTGGCTACAGCTGCAGTTACTAAAATTAAAACAAAATAGAAGCAATAGGCAGTTATCTATACTTATAATAAATCTGTAGAGAGGTCAATTCTGTACATACAATATATTTAAAAAATAACTATCAAGGGGTGGTTAGGGATCGCTACTGATGCCAAAAATGCAATCAGTAAAATTTTTGTCTGTCTGTCTGTCTGTCTGTATGTTCGTTATGGAAACAAAAACTACTCGATGGATTTTAACGAAATTTGGCACAATTATTCTTCATACTCTTGGGCAGGTTATAGTATACTTTTCATTACGCTACGATCAAAAGGAGCAGAGCAGTGAAGGGAAATATTGGGAAAACGGGAGAAGTTACTCCATTTTTTAAGCTTCCGTCGCGTGTGCAGGCTTATAGGTTAAAGCTGCATAGAAATCATATATGACGGAAATATTCTCCTTAAAATTATATAAAAAATATTCCTCGACAGCATATGTCTATCTTTTATGGTTGACTCACAATAACACGTGAAACTCCCGATAGCTTAGCAATTCGGTGATTTCTGATTGTATTTGTCTACTCTAACGTTTACAATACTCATTCATAGACATTACGCTGTAACTGAAAGGCCAGTGGTTGAAATTAGCTTGACTCGATATTATAAATGAAAATATGTGAGTTTATGTGTATGTTTGTTACTCAGTCATATTAAAACCACTGAAGGGACCGGAATGAAATTCGGAACAGAGGTAGATTATGGTCTGAAGTGATACATAGGCATTTTACCCCTGAGATCGCGGGCGAAGCCGCTGGCAGAAGCTAGTTAAAACTATTTATGTAAGTTTGAGCAGAATTCGTTTTTAATCGATTGCTATTTGTTTTGTTTATCAAAGGCATTAAACCATGACAATTTGAGAGAGCTGTCACATGTGAAACAGCATTGTCCTAAGAGCTTGAAAGTATCTAAAGAAAAGCTTGAAGTGCTCTTAGTACTTTCCTAGCACTCAACTAAGTCTCGGTTAGAATCAGAATGTTTCTCCAGAACTCGACACAGTGCTCTACTGTCATCCGTTGTTTTACTTTGATACAAACATGGTGATTCCGCTATTGTTTAGCAATCCGGACGTTTCGATACTTTGTTCATAGCAAAGAACAATAGTTTCGGGGAAAGTTGCAGGGAACTCAATTGTATTATAGATTCCTTGTCAGCGAACTACATGTTGCAAGACTACCGTGTTAATTTGTAGCTACTGCATCCTGCATCTTTCTTTATTGTAGAATAGTAGCCAGTTACTAATAGACATCTGACTCGACGTTACAGAAACTACATCGCAATGTAGAAGCTTTAAATCACGAATTAGAA